GAAGAGGTACAAGGCAAGATTAGTCGCAAGGGGTTTCACTCAGAAAGAAGGTGTCGACTTCAATGATGTATTTTCCCCTGTTGTGAAGCACAGATCCATTCGAATGTTGCTTGCCATAGTGGCTCAGTTCGACCTTGAACTGGAACAAATGGATGTGAAGACTGCGTTCTTGTATGGTAACTTAGATGAAACGATCCTGATGAGGCAACCTGAAGGGTATGTCGAAAAGGGGAAAGAAGATTATGTGTGCAAACTGAAGAAATCTTTATATGGACTTAAACAATCTCCTCGACAGTGGAATAAGAGATTCGACAAGTTCATGGAACACATAGGTTTCATTAGAAGTCAGTTCGACCACTGTGTTTACTCCAGATTTCGACCTGAAAATTCATTTGTTATTTTGTTGCTTTATGTTGATGATATTCTGATAGCAAGCAACAATGTCGAAGATGTAATGAGGGTGAAGGCTAAACTCAATAAGGAGTTCGACATGAAGGATCTGGGAGCTGCATCTAGGATTCTTGGAATTGACATTCGAAGAGATAGAAAGCAGTCGAAATTATGCTTATCTCAAGAGGCATACCTACGAAAGATTCTTGACAAGTTTGGTATGTCGAATTCAAAGCCTGTTGTGACTCCAACAAACCCTCAATTCAAGCTGAGCATTGATCAATGTCCCAGTACTGATGTCGAAAGAACCTATATGAACAGCATCCCATATGCTAATATAGTTGGTTCTTTGATGTATGCTATGGTCTGTACTAGACCCGACATAGCATATGCAGTAAGTCTTGTAAGCAGGTACATGGCGAATCCTGGAAAGGCTCACTGGCAAGCGTTAAAGTGGATTCTAAGGTACATAAATGGGTCTCTGAACAGAGTCTTAATTTATGGTGGAGCCTTGGGTGAAGATAGTAAAGCAGCTGTCGAAGGCTATGTTGACTCTGATTATGCAGGCTGTATGGATTCCAGAAAATCTATTTCTGGATATGTTTTCACTATGTTTGGTACAGCAATTAGTTGGAAAGCAACTCTTCAGAAGGTTGTTGCCTTATCAACTACTGAATCAGAATATATTGCCCTAACTGAAGCTGTGAAAGAAGCATTGTGGCTTGAAGGTTTTGCAAAGGAGCTGAAACTTCAAGGTCAAGGTATCACTGTTAAATGTGATAGTCAAAGTGCAATACACCTGTCGAAGAACTCAGCCTATCATGAGCGAACCAAGCACATAGATGTGAGGCTGCATTTCGTCAGAGGGGTAATCGAGCGTGGAGAAGTCCAAGTGCTGAAGGTCTCGACAGAACACAATGTCGCTGATATGATCACCAAAACATTGCCAAGTTGCAAGTTTTTCCACTGTATGCAGTTGATAAAGCTGCATGAAGAAAGCTAGTTAGCGTCTCTTGATGCTGTAGAGTTAGGTCCAAGGTGGAGATTTGTGGGATATTGGATCGAACTCTAGTATAATCGAAGTACATGCTGTAGTCGAAGAAGGGTCTAGCATGTATTTGTCGAAGAATGCTTGTTAAATTAGGTTTTAGTGTTTAAACCCTAATTTGTTAAGTTAGCTTGATTATTAAGTTAGCTTGTATAATGGGCCTTGTGGAAAAAGCCCATTAGTTAGTATGTTAGGTTTTATTATAAATAGCATACTAGTCTCTCATCATTGCAACACAGCAAATCCTAATTTAGGGTGAGAGGGTTATTTGTTATTCTTGTAAACTTGTAATCTTGTTTTTCTAAGAGAAAATAAAGAATAGCAGTTATAACCAATTCTTGTGTTCTTCTTCTTCCTTGTTCTTTATTCTTCCCTTATTCTATACTTTGTTATTGGCATTGAATTCAGAACAGTAGAAAATAAAATACATTTATAGCATATTAAGTTATGAAATTATTTAATTAATTTTAGTGCTTAATATAAACATGGAAAAAAAATACTCTATATGTGATGTAAGAATTTGGTTCGCAAATATGTTAATATGAAGTAATTGTGTAATTTTTTATATAAATGTTGTGTTTTTAGTTAGATGATCATGGTAGTTTATAATTCATGTAAGTTAATGGAGTTTCCATCATGAAAAAAATCAATTTGGTGTCACAATGAAATACTTTTATTAAATTGGATAGTGTCTTATTTATTTTGATTAAGAAAATAATGTCAATAAGATGCGATAATAATTATTTTATATTAAAGATTTTTGGATAATGACATATGCATGTACAATTAATAAAATAGTTTCATTTTTTTGACTTACTTTATTATTATAAATTGTTTGCTGTTATCTGTCACTATAAGTTTATAATCTGTTTTATTATTGTCTGTCACTATAAGTTCTATCATCCATAATCTGTTTTATTATTTCCTGTCACTATAAGTTCTGTTATTCATAATATGTTTTATTATTTTCTGTCATTATAAGTTCTTCCTGCATAGTCTGTTTTATGACTGACTGTCACTAATGTGATTTTCTATGTATTACTTACTTTCTGTAGTGTGTCACTAAAAGTAATATTACTTTTGATTTTCATGGTTGTTATTTATGCATTGAAATTATATAAATGATGTTGATACTATATATATTTATTAAAAAAATTAAGAACACAGTGATTATGGAGTTAAGATAATTAAAATACTTTTATTTTATATGAAATAGAATTCCACATGAATTGTTTAGAAGAAAGTGAAAATATTATATCATGTGGAATTGAGTATTGTAGATTTGTTTCACTTTAATGTGTTTAAAAAAAAATAGTTGAAAATATGAAATGATTTGTGAGTGGTTGTATTATATGTCATGTGCATCTTCCTGCTTGATTGTTTGATTTCTTGACCTTTATATTTAATTTTTTAAATATATGATTATTTAGAGTAATATATTACTTTTTGAGCACCCATGGTTATGACTAGATTATAAAATCTTTTCTGACTCAACTAAGTCATAGAAATAGATAATTCGGAAAGAGATGGTGTCAATTGTATGAATTAATATTTAAGTTAAGACCTTAGTTGTGATAAGTAGCGTGATTTTGAAAAAAGCATGAATCAAATGTGTGAATAACTAAAAAAGACTTAACAAATTTTAAATATAGATTATAGCAAATATTATAATTATTGAGTTACGGTGATCTATATTATTATTATAGTTGTTGGTTAACTATGAATAACTTTTAGAGACGATCTTTATATGACACATGCACTTGTTGTGTTTTTATCACTTCAGTGATTTTACTTTTGCAGCAGAATTATTTCATTGATGGATAGAATGGAAGAGTTGTAAATTTTAATATTTTATTTTATATATTGGTCCTAATATTTTAATTTGTAAAGTAAAATTTTTAATTTTATAAATTTACTAGAATTTTTGTTATGTAGTTTCAAGGACGAAATTAAATGATTTAAACTTTTAACTTTATTTATTTAGTTAAAATATTTTAAACAACCTATAATATAAATATAAATAGTTTTTAATTGTTGGTCTTTGTGTCACTATTTTATAAAATTATTTTAACTATTAAATTTTGGTTTATTATATTTATTAAAACAATAAAAAATAGATTTGATAGATAAACTTTATTTTGATTTAGTAAATAATAAAATCATTTGATTATATATATATATATATATATATATATATATATATATATATATATATATATATATATATATATATGATATAAAATTATATTTGTATTGTTACAACACGCCAGCTGCCGAGCCTGCCAAAGATGTGACTGAAGTTGCATATGCTTATTATGAAGGAGTCCATTTGTTTAGAGAAGGCTTAGAAAACTCAATACTAGTTAACTATATGGGAAATCAAAAGTATAATAACTCGTACAACAACACTTACATCCTAAACTGGCGTAATCATCTAAATTTCTCAACAATAATAAAAATTAATGAAATCCTCAAGCACCATAGATTTCATCTGGTTTTCCTGCACCTAATCATGTTGTAAATACACTTGGAAAAAACTAATTGGAATCAATGATGAAATCCTTCATGCAAGAAACAAAGAATCAATTTTAAGCTCAAAGAGTAAGTATAAAAAAAATGAAATTTATATGGGCCAGATTACTTCTACTTTTAGTTCAAAAAGAGTTAGAGCACCTCTAAGTTTCATGAAGCAACTTAGCCAAATATTTAAGCAACGGGAACGCCACATGTATTTATTCCAATGATACAAATACTAAGTTCCGGAACTTATAAATTCTAGTGTGCATTAAACAACCTCATTGGAGATGCTCTAACAATCAAAGATAGTGGGCCTTCAATAGAGAAACCATATGTGGTAGAATTGAAGCAATTGCCTCTTTATTTGCAATATGCTTACTTGGAATCAGAATAGAAGTTTCCATATATCATTGCTACTGACCTCATTGCATAGCAGAAGTGTTGGCAAACGTCTGACAATAAGGGGATCAACCCAGTATTTACATGCATAGAATACTAATGGAAGACAATGTCATGAACAATATAGAGAGCTAAAGAATGTTGAATCTCATCATGAAGGAAGTTATGAAAAAAGAGATCATTAAATGGTTTGGATGTTGGATTTATGCTATTTCTTATAATGTATGGATAAATCCTATAAAGTGTGAACTAATACCAATAAGAGTTGTCATTGGTTGGAGGATATGTGTGAATTATAGGAAGCTGAACAAAGCAACATGGTAAAATCATTTCCCCTACTTTTTGTTGATCAAATGTTAGATAAGTTTGTTGGAAACTCAGTATTACCTCTATTAGCTCAAGTGATAAAGGGCAAATAGAAATTCAAATAAAAAAATGCTTATTTCATTAAGATGAATTGAAAGAATAATTCGCCTAAAGTAATTTGTCAGTAGAAGTTGTACATCATCAAAATAAGATCTTTGTAGTCTATATTTACATTTGTTCTCTATGTCAGATGACTAACAATGTATATACATGAAAGAATAAATCAATGTGATATCTATACATTACGGAGCTAAAGAATGTGTAGTGTCTGAAGATTGTCTTAGAAGAGCTTGCTGGCAAATTCACCCATGTCACCCACACCTTCCATTCTATAAGAAGCTGACTTAGATGCAAGTTCCCTCAGATTTGATATACTTCTTCCCAACTTCAGAGCCATCTTCATTTCAAACAACTCTCCATTTTCTCTTTTCGCTAAATCTTTCACACTTAAAGTTGATTCAATTGAGGTTTCTAAAAAGTTGAAGAAACCAGCAGAACCTCTATACATTTCAAAAACCATGCCAACTTGGCCAGCATGTTCGAAACTATTAATTGCAGCAGCCAATGAACCAGCCATGAGAGGAACAAAAGCAGCCAAAGAACTACCATTATTGCCTATAAATGTAGATCCAACAGCTGCAATGCCTGTGAGTAATGGACCTGCAATTGCCAAACTCTTGTTTATCTTCAACGCTAGGTTTCCAAGTCTGTTATAATCTTCTGTATCTTTTCTCTTTATCACTTCAACAACTTCCCTCATTTCCATTTCCAGTTCTTCACTCCATCCATTATTCATTTTCCCCATTTTCTTTCTTTGTGGTTTTCCTTTGTTGGAAGGCCACCAAACAGCAGGCTCAAATTTTGCGGGATATTTTTCAAGCATTGCTCCTAATAATGGAAGTGGGTAAGCTTTGTCAAGTGCCAAAACCTTATCCATTGCATCTTTGACATCTTCCTCACTAGGATTTCCTATTGCAATAGTGGTTCGGATTTGTCTTTGAAGCTGTTTAAACAATCTTGTAGCATTTCGTTGTTCCTCCGTGAGTTGAGAAGGGTTAATTTTGTTGATGATAAGCAATAAACCAGTTGCAGCAGAGAATAAAAGAGCAGAAGATAGTTTCAAAGCCAAAAGTGAAGAATCAGAGCAAGTGGTTGCAGCAGCAGAAGCAACACCAGCCAAAGTCGTAGCAGTAAGAGTAATCATGTTGATAGAGTTTAACAAAAGAGTGTTCCAATTGTTCCGTTGTTGAGCAATGTTGTGATGCATTTCAACTCTGTCGGAAACAGCTTCCAAGACTGCATAGAGTTTAATAATAATAATATCATTTTTATTCCTGTCATGTGATTGTGTGGTGAGGACAACACTATTCTTTTCTAATTGATCTGTATTAATACGATGTCTGGATACATTAATAAAGTCCTCAAGAAGGGGCTTTGTTTTTGGTAGTTGTGGGATTGAGAATACACGTGGGAGTTTAGGGATATGGATAGCAGCATTAACTGTACTTCTCAAAGAAGAAGAAGATAAATTAGCTGCTGAGAATATTTGTAGACAAACCATGGACTTATATATTTATTTTTGTTTGTAAGAGTCTGTCTCTTGAAATTTGTTTGTTGATGAGAAGTCTGAGGTTTAAGAATGTTTTGTTGAATTGTAGATGAGAGTTTATGAAAAATAGAATAGGTGTGGATGGTATCTATAGAAGAATGGAAGAGAATGGATGGGAAGAAGTCATAACTACTAACCGTAAGATTAGACCTGGCCTCATTATTGACTTTTCGTTGTATTAATAAATCTCAACGTTCAACAGGGGTCACTAAGTAGTAATGCCAACCAACTACTCTTGCCCACATGAATATTTTTTATACCAACCTGTCATAATCCAAGTTTCAGACTGTTATATTTTACGTTTCCTCATATAATATTCCTATCTAGTCATATACTCCAATGGATGAGCGTGGCAATATTTTAGGGCTGAAAAGGCACAATGTATTGCTTTTTTAATGGATTACGTATTGGTGATGTGAAATTTTCCTAGAGAGGAGATTAATAATATATGTTTTAGGTATCTCAACAGCATGATGTAAAGATCACGGAGGGTCGAGGTTTAGGTTTCTCAACTCAAATTTAAGGCTAGTTTTGTCCTTTATAAAGTTTTTAATAAAAGATATATGACATGAAATGATGCATAATGTTAATTTAAATCTAAAGAAATACTCAAGTCTAAACTTTAAAGATTTGGTCCAATCAAAATTTAGGAACAAATTAAATATATATCGTTAGATGGTATAATTCTTGTTCTATCGAAGTGCATAGGTGTATGTCGAATAACAAGTGTTGATAGATTGTCAATTGTATTTGACAGAGTCGAATACATCAACTATTGTAATATGTCAAAATATAGTTTTGGGATATAAATATTGTAGTTTGTCTAATTGGGTCTGGGCATTGTATGCAAATATAAAGGACTTGTTACATTGTAATTTTAATAACAATGAATGCAATCACAATTTAGTTAGAAACATAACAAACTTTCAATCTCTATCTATCTTCTTCTTCCTCCTCTTTCATAAATCATCTTTCTTGAAAACCCTTGTTTCAAAAAATTGGTATAACAGAGCTCGGTTGTGATTCAGAGAGAATCTAATGGTAAACGGAACAACAACGTTAATGCAGTTTCCAGCAAATCTACCAGTTTTCAAAGGAGAAAACTATCAACTATGAGTTGCGCAGATGAAGGTTATTTTCATATTTCAAGATGTTGTTGAAATCTTGAATGATGGATTACCAGAATTGGAAGTAAATGCAACGGAGGCTCAAAAAACTATGCACATTGATTAGAGGAAGAAAGATGCTAAAGCACTGTTCTTGATTCACCAGTGTGTGGATTCTAATGTATTTGAGAAGATAATTGAAGAAGAAACAACAAAAGGAGTGTGGGACAAGTTAAAGAACTTGTATGGTGGAGATGAGAAATTGAAGAAGGTAAAGTTGCAAATGCTAAGGAAGCAATTCGAGATGATTCAAATGAAAGAAGATGAATCAATTTATGCATATTTCTCAAGAATTGTGACACTAACAAACCAGATGAAGGCATGTGGTAAATCGGTTACGGATCTACAGAAGATTGAGAAAGTGTTAAGATCTTTGACTGCAGATTTTGACTTCATTGTTATGACAATTGAAGAGGCCAAGACTCTATCTAAGATGAAGTTAGAAGAACTTCAAGCTTCATTTGAGGCTCATGAGATGAGATTGAAGCAGAGAAACTCAGAAAGAGAGAAGGTGGTTGAACAAGCATTGCAATCAAGATTCAACAAGAAAGCTGGAAAGGAGAAGTCGAAGTAGCAAAAGAATCTTGCTAGTGATGAGAAGTCAAGAAATAATACTAATTCGATCAAGAAAGATGTGGACAACAAGTATTCTAGGAAGAAAGTTGACACGAAAGAGGTGCAACGTTACAATTGTCAAGGTTTTGGTCACTATGCTCGAGACTGTCGAAGAAAGAAAGTAGCAAGGGCGAAAGATAGTGAAGTTCAATATGCACGAGCTAGAGATAGTGATTCTGATGATGTATTGTTGATGGTCAACACTCAGTCGAACACTGAGAAAAACAACATGTGGTATCAGGATTCAAGATGCAACAACTACATGACTGGCAATAAAAACTGGTTTACCAAGTTAAATGAGTCAGTCGAAAAGGTGATAAAGTTTGTAGATGACAGACACATTAAATTAGATGGTAAAGGAGATATTTAGATTGTCAGGAAGGATGGTCGAATGGCCATTATCACTGAAGTGTTGTATGTACCTTCTATGACAAGTAACTTAATAAGTTTAGGTTAATTACTTGCAAAAGGTTTCAATATGAAGCTGGAGACGAATCGGATGAAGGTATATAAGGATGATGAGAGGCTAATAATGAAAGCACCATTGGAAGAAAATAAAAATGTTTAAAGTTGAACTCAACACAACATATAACAAATGTCTAGCTTTAACTACAGAAGAAGACAAGAAATGGCTATGGCACCACAGGTATGTACATCTAAACTTCAGAAGTTTATGCATGCTCAACCAAAAAAGGATGGTGTTGGGGTTGCCTTATGTGAAGGAACCAAAGTAGGTGTGTGAGGAATGTTGCAAATCAAAGCATACGAGGAAGGCATTCAAATATTACTTTCCCATGAAATCAAAGCAAAAACTAGAGCTGGTTCATTCTGATGTGTGTGGACCTTTTGAAGTAAATTCAAATGGAGGTAACATGTATTTCCTTACTTTCATTGATGAATTCACCTGACATATATGGATTTATCTTATTGAAAGGAAGAGTGAGGTATTCATACAATTCAAGAAGTTCAAGTTGCATGCTGAGAAACAAAGTGGATGCAAGTTGAAGAAGTTGAGATCTGATGGAGGTGGTGAATATACTTCTTCAGAATTTGCTAGACTTTGCAATGAGGAAGGTATAAAGTATGAGGTTATTGCGCCCTATACACCTCAGCATAATGGCATAGCTGAGAGAAAGAATAGAAGTATATTGAACATGACAAGAAGTATGTTGAAAGCCAAAGATATGTCTAAGATCGGTTTATGACGGAAGTGTGTCGCTGGGCGACGGATGGCAGCCTTGGTTGGCTGAGTTGGATTTCTTAAAAAGGTCATAACTTTAGTTCTAGAGCTCGGTTTAAGGTGTCGTTCAAAGCAGTGTATAGCTGACCCAGTGAACCTTAGTTAAATGGAATAAAATGAGAACTTAGGAGTATTTTTCCAATACCTAAATTAGAATAGACATAGGTTCCCTTTGTCGAATCACAATGATGTTTTGTTTACTATGATGATGTTTGTATGTTATGATGATATGATGATGGGATGATGTCGTTATGTTTATATGAGATTGTTATGGTGATGTTTGTTTATTATGATGATATGATGATATTGATGACTTCATGAATGATGATGCATATGACTAGTCGTGGTCGTTTTATATTTGTTGTTGCGTATCATGCATTCATGGTATAGTTTGGACAACTTTGGTCCGTCCATGTTGATTTTGGACTTTTGTCCAGTATTGGTCTCAATTCCATTGTCTGGATTGAGAGTGTTGATGTTGTGCTCCGATTCCAAAAGGAGATCGATCCTATGGTGGGGATCTTTATAGGGTGATGGCCTAGTTCCCATTGAAAGAAATGGTACCACATGCATGAGTCTATGATCTTACACTATATCTTATGTGGCATTTCATAATTGTTGATTTTGATGATGTCATAATATGGTATTGTATTAAATGAAGATGTTGCTGAGTTGATGTTATGATATTGTTGGCTTATTATACTATGTCTATTCCTTATGTCTTATATAATGATTATGATTTACTCACCCTTTCTGCTTGAATGTTGCCTCTACATGGGTAACATGCAGGTGATCAGGATTAGTTCTTAAAGGCCTAGAAGAATAGATTTGGAGTGTTTCATTTAATTCTGTTGAGTCTAGAAGGTCTTGCTCTGATATGTATCATCAGAGATGGGAACATTTGATTTGAAACTATTATGTTCTTTGTTTTATTATGAGATTTTTAAACTACCTTTCATGGAGTTTAAGTTGTTGTGAATTATGAACCATGAACGATGAAGTTTCTCTGATGTGTTTTAATAAGGATGTTTTGAACTATGAATTCCGCAGCGAGTAAGTTGAAGTATTGTGGTTGTTATTTAATGAAGCATATGTCATAAATGATTTTGAAAACCTATGTTACGAAGTAAGACATGCATGTATGTTGAATATGAAGTATATGACGCCCTTTGGGTGAAATACTATGATTTATTTAATTGAATATTCCTTGGAGTTTAAAAGGGTTTTACAAAGCATGCCCTGCGACTTTGAAACTAATTAAATAGGGAAAAACACATTTTTAGGTTATGGGTTGGGTATTTTTGTGTCCCAACACCATTAAACCCATTTTTTTTGGTAGAGAGGGCTTAGAAAACATCAGTTGGGGTTGCATCTTGTCGAATCGGGGGTGGATTCTCAACAATCGTCTTGACAACTCGAGAAGTGTTGGTTTATCTCTTTTTCCTCTTTTTGTAAACTCTATTTTGTTGGGTTATGTTTGTATAGTTATTCTGAACATATGCATATGTATTGATCATGGTGTTGTATTATATATGCTTTACAAAATAAATCTTGTTGCTTTCCTTAATCTTTTTGCATTTATGTTTGAATTTGGGTTATTATAGACATATACCTCACAAGTCTTGATTAGTGAAAGAAATATGTTAGGTTCTAAACTCTAGAGATGGATGTGATACAGTGGCAGAACCGATTGTTAATACTGGTTTGCGTTTTGCGTTTTTTTGTTTGCAAAATGTCGCGGTAAGCAAGAGTCGCCACCGACTTTTATTTCATCCGACCGGAAAGGAATAAAGTATAGAAAAAATCATTTTTCGAGATTTTTAATACGGGGGGTAGATTATAGAAAGGGAAGGTGTTAGCACCCTTTCCATCCATGGTTTTCCATGGGCTCTTAGGTACTTGCTCATCTCTTTTAAAATTGCTTGTGTGTG